GGCATCACACTCCATTACATCCACGCAATGTTGAGACAGCGTGACGACAGGGAGTAAGAGACGTCATTTTCGATTGGAACAACGTCCGAGGATGAACGCTTAAGAGGAAGTTCAACTACAATTCTGACACTTGCACGCCTTCGCCTTTATTATTATTTGCACTTTATAACCATAAGTACAAATGTATCAATTTTCAATAAACCAGATATAAATACTGTAATCACTAATAATAATAATAATAATAATAATAATAATAATAATAATAATAATAATAATAATAATAACAATAAATAATAACAATAAATAATAACTAAGAGTATTATATTATTATTATTATTATTATTATTATTATTATTATTATTATTTTACACCGCATCCACCTTTATTTACATTACAAAATTGAATAATTCATTATTACATTACATAATTTTACTGAGAACTGTAACTTGGAAGTTTCACGGTTTTTCTTCATGCTCGTTTGTGTTTTCATGAAACTCGGAAAGTATTTTTCAATGCGTATATTACAATTTAGTTAAAAGTTTTTAAAATGTATGATTTGCATATATAAGGTTCCTTATTATTTATATTTATGTTTAGTTTTACTTATCTATTAAGAACTATAATTGTAGACTACATAAGCAAGCGATTAATATTGTACAGTAAACGGATAAACTGTACAAGAAGTACAGAGATTTTTAGCAGTCCTATGGTGGAATTCTTTTCAATCTGTATGGATGGGATGAGTTGTTTTGGGGGGAGGGTAATGAGTTTTAAAATAATGACCACTGTGACCTGATCATAGATTAGCTCAAAGCGCTAAACTGAAGGAAGGAAACTAGTTCAGAGAATGGCTGTTCAAGGTGTGGGATTTGGTACACGAAAAGCACCGTATTTGTACTGCAGAAATGTACCCTTTTGATGTTCGTATTCCTCATGATAAAAGCAACTTTTGTTTGAATCCATAATACTTCGATAAAACACGATTTTATATTCTTGGAACATTCTAGAATCAGAAGATGCAGAAATTTTAATTCCAGTATAAAATTTTAACGGAGAAAAAATGAAGGTTTGCAAATCCCTTAAACAAGCAGAGAATTGCTACCGACGTAGAAGCAAAGTTCCACGACGACACAGACTTGGACGAAACGTGATTTTAAGAGTAGAATCTGGCTCTGCGGCAGTCTCTTAGGACGCGGATGCAGTTATAGGCACGACACACACAGGCGAACGGGCATGGCGGACCGCCTATCGTTGTGTATCGACTATACATACATCGCTTACCGCGAGGAGAAGCTTTCTTTTCGAAAAAAATCTTAGACATCTCGCAACAAAAAACTACTCTCCATCAGAGGGACACTCAAAGGTTCGCTGGCGCCAATGAAAACAAAAAAGAAGGGATAAACAAACGCACAAAATGGCGACATTGGAAAAATATCCGAGGCACATTATTCAAGGGAAATAAAGTAAAATAGAATGTGATAAGTACTAAAGAAGCATTATTTTTAATCCGCCGTACCATTACCTTAAAGTTTGCAGAAAAACTTATAGGCTCTCTTAAGAAGAAAACACTCACTTTTTCTGTTGCAGTACATCGCACATTCTCCAACAAACAAAAATCTATTTTCTTTCCCGATGGAGGGTCTTTGATAAACAAATTCTTGGGGAAGGGTGCAAGCAACAAGTCACAGACTTGCGATAAAAACAAAGAAATTTAGTATCTGCGTTTGAACATTCGTCATCGAAGGTGCATTGACACTTGGAATGAATAGAAATGACATCATTCAGTCATTGCAGGTGTATAAAATTGAGCAGCGGTATAGTAAGAAGAATATCAATTGATCACTGCAGCACATCGCCAGATAAAACAAACAAGAAAAACAAAACTATGGCCTCAAGAATACGTTCCCGAGACTTTACATCACCTCATGTGAATTAAAATATGGCATTCTGCAGGTTATGTAACATGCAACGTAAAAAATGCAACATAAAAATGTAACTCTCGCGTGTGTAAAAGCAAAATTCTTAGGGACATCTACATTGAAAATAACGTAGACGCGAGGACTTAAACACGCACGTTTAACATAAACATTGACATATCATTCATAAACATCGTGAATGAAAACGTGAACACCGCCACTCATCGACACTGATACAATAAGCATGCAACTGAACATCAGTACAGAATTCTGCATTTGCAATTGAACAATATTAAGTAAAATGGGCACGATCATGCTATGTCGACAATTCCTTCATACACCATGCGCGCGATGAATTATAACGAGCGTTACATTGATGATGATGATGATGAATAGTAATGCATGCTCTAGCAAACTGCTTTAGTTTCAGCCTAACAAAAGCACTGCAAGTTAGTTGGATTTTTCTACGGTACACGTAGTGCGTCGTTTCTCAGATCGCTTTAACGTGAAAGTGAATGCTTGCTGCTCGCAAACATCACAGTTATTTCTATTTATTTAAAATTTACGTTCACGTTTAAATGGTTTTATCGAACAGAATGCCACAAAGCTTTTACTTTGCATTACCGTAACGTTTGCATTTAACTTTTATTGTAAATGAGCTTTTCCATCAGGCGGTCACGCTGGTTAGAGCAAAACTTTAAGGACAGTTGGCGTATGCAACCAGCGGACACCCATGTATTGCGGGTAGGGCGCACGTCAGGTAATGTTAAACAATCGTGCTCACAGAAAAAAAATATAGATTCCGTCACATATATTCACTTGAAACAAAACAAAAACGCTCAAAACCTATTTTGTCGGAAATGTCCCATAGTTTACCCACATTACCCTCATTCCATTCTACACATCCTTTTTTGTGATAGTAGGCATACAAAATCATGAAATATTTATGACAAGAACAGTAGGCATGCACAAAATTTGAGCAAAGAAAATACTTAGATTTTATGAAATTTATGGAATTGATTAAATCAACTCTATTAATTACTTCCATCTTATTCCACCAATGAATGCATTAATTTGCATTCAAATGCAAACATCACAACAATTATTTTAATTGAATCAAATAAAATTGGTAACTCAATATTAAAACTAGTAGCTGTATCAATTTTGTGAAACATCATTTAAACAAAATATGCCCTTAAAACTATGAAAAACATTATGAAGTCTGCAATTGTTAGAAGAAAAATAAATGTTATCTCTTTTAAAATGATAATCATGATTTAAAGAGATGAGAAATGATATTATTATGTTAAAACAAATTTCAAAATAATGTCTCATTTTTTTAAAATTCCAGTGATATGTATGGATGAAATATCTGTGGACCACTGCCCGTGAAAAGTAATGGTATTGCTCTTATTGATGTGGTCAAAATTATCTCATTAATCATACCTCTTTCTACACATTACTGTATACTTTTATTAAAATTTTATAATATGACTATACCTCTTTAAAATTTTATATATACAATTAAATTTTGGAAGTTTGCATGGCTATTCATTATCTTGTACAACTATCACAATTTTTTTCATGTTTTGGGGAAAAAAAATTTGTACATTTTCTGAAAGACTTATAAAAGTATCTCATAATGGGAGTACCCTCAGCCACTCTCGTGTGCATAGCACTTGTGTGTGTGCACTTCACCCTTATTGCAAATTACTCCATGTCAATGATTCTTCACAAACTCCTGACCCTCCATGTCTTCATTTTTAGAACCTCTCATATTTTAATCAAAATTCAATGTTTGAAATAGTACGGAAGATGTTTCCATGCAGAGAAAATGTAAGGGAAAAAAATTGAAAAGTGGGGTAAATTTTTGAGCAAAACACGAAGGAAGGAGCTTGATACAGTCCACCTATCACATGAAAATCAACATCTCCAACTCACACATAAACTGCCCATAAGACAGGCACAATGCTAGATTCATTATATGCAGAGAACTTACAGTGAACTTGTAGAAACCTTCAGGAACTGGCTGACCACCAAACTTGATGCTGAGTGTGTAGTCACCAGCATCCATTACCGTGTAATAAATACTGAAGGTACCATCCCCATTGTCTTCTATATCTATGTCCAAGTCACTGAAAAAAATTGTATTTTCACTGATAAACAAATCAAAATTCGAGGTAAATAAAAACCTTCTAATAAAAAAAAATCTGGTGAGAAAAATCTCAATGAAAAACAGTATATATCTAATATGTAAAAAAAATTGAAAAGAAATACAATTAAAAAACACCCTAATGGTCCTACAACAGCACATTCTTTCTTGTATTTTTTTGAACTTTCAAATTTTCAAAATTTTCAAAATTCTGAGATCAATGAAACTGAGATATGCTCTATTTTTTTAAGATTTTCTTGTTCTAACTGTGGGAATAATTGGAAACATCTTTTGAGAAAATGATATTTTTATAATTTTTTTTAACTTCAAGAATAAATTACACGAAAACTACTCGTTTTTCCAAAAATTGTATTAACCTGATTTTTTAAAACAGGTTTCATTGAAGATAACAATCTACTTCTTTAAATTTTGAATTTTGCGTTGTTAATGTTTTGCAAATTTCGGATATAGGACTAGCACCACTTTTTCTTACCATTCTTTGATACATATCAGGAGACAACTTAAAGAAAAAATAGAGGTAGTTTTTGAGAAAAATATTTAAAAATTGTCTGTTTCGCGCGAAAATTACTCACATTTTCGAAAAATTGAAAATGACGTTATTTCAAGCTGTCTTTGAAAAATATTTATTACGCCACAGCGCAATTATTGCAAATCTGCAATACTGTGGTTGTAGGAAGACGCCGAAACATTCTACGGAAAATAAGGGTTTTTTTACGAAACTGATACATACCCGTTTCTTTTAAGCGCCATTTACGCTACCCGTGGTCAAACGTTAATCAAAAAGAGTTAAGTGCCATTTTTGGGAAGATTTTGAAAATCTTGAGGCTTCGTGTAAAGTACTACCCCCAAAAATCAAAATATCCATTTCAAACTCGCAGGGCCTCGGATTCCTTAAAATCGATCGAAGAATATCAATTTTGGAGAGTATAGGCTGAACCGTTTAAACGATAGCGTTGCCCAAGGTTTTGGCGTCATTTGATTTTTCGGTATCAAGGTCCACAAAACCTGGATTCCGACTACGCATCGTATTAGAGGAAGTATATTACGATACATGCGAATTTAATTTATCCACTGTTTCTCTAAAGGGGCCGGCAATAACGACTTTTTTTATCGAAAATTCACAATTTTCCGGATTACAACGCTTTTTCTTCTTGCAAAGTAAGAAAGACAGTAGAAAATCTCAGCACAGGATTCAGATTTTGTATTATGTATGATTATATATTATGTAAGATGCAGTATTATCCATTAACTGACGAGAATGAAATTATTAGGCTAAAATATCTCTATTTTTTTCTCGATGGTTTTGACAGAAACGGGAACAGATACTTCAAAAGTTGATAGAAACCTTCAGGAAATGGTTTATTTCATTTAAATGTTTATGGAAAGTATTTATTAGATAAGTTAACAAAGTAAAGAAATATTTCATTTATTAAAGAAAACTAATTTCTATTATTATTATTATACTATATCTTATTGCTAGAAACTAGCACAGAATTTCAATTGAGCTTGGGGAAGTAACAAGTTATGACACACCAGCCTCAGCAGGCCACCTACTATGCATCTGCTACAAGATGTATATAGATACAATATATGCCATTCTTTCATCAAAAGTTAGATATTAACATGCTTGCTGTGGCTGGCATGGCCTATTTTGTTACTCTCCTGACCTTCAATTACACAGCTTTCAGTCATAGCAGGGATATTTTATATTGATGATTTTAGAAAGGGATTGATAACAAGATCAAATTTTCATATCGCACCTAGTATAAATATTTGTTGTTGTTGTTTTTCTTTTGCTTTTTAATTATTTTATCTATAACGCATAAGATCAGAGATAGATCTAGACATTCAATTTCGGGCAAAGGCACTGGTTTGTCATGGTCCAATAACAATATTGAATAGTGTCATAAAGGGACGAGGGTACAACAGCTCTTTTGAAATAGCAAAAGTTTGTACTGTTAACCAAGGAATTTTGCGAATGAATTCAGTGCACTTTATGAAGCTTGCTTGCCCTTATCATTACTTTTGGTATACTCATTTAATTCTAATTAACAAGTAAATTAAACTTTTTTAAGCAGTGCTTTACTTTTGGGTAATTTAAGGTTCCACAAATCCTTCAAATAATTATAACTATGAATATAAATGTCATCATAAGTTGATTTTGGAATGGAATGTTCAAATATGGAAGAATCGCAATCAGAGAGTGTCTCACCTTCCTGATGTTGATCGAATACGACAGGTTACAGCACCATATCCAGCATTCTTGGCATTAACAGTAATACAATATTCTTCACCACTTGTAAGTGTACGTTGAATACCTTCTGTGATTTTACATTTCTCAGCCTGCAATGGTTACACATGTCTTTATAAATTACAATCCATATATTATACAACACAATCCATGAGAAGAAACTGAATATTCTAAATTGACTGTTTAATTGACTATAGAGGGATAGAGTGAACAAGAGTGAAAGAAGAATGGGTATAAGATGGTGGTGTGCAGCACTGGATAAAGATGAGTGCATGGCATTTATCCTGGAGGCCAAAACTCTCAGAGTTGTAGTACCAGAAATGACGACAATGCCGATGCCGACGATGCCGATGCCGACGATGCCAATGCCGACGATGCCAATGCCGACGATGCCAATGCCGACGATGCCAATGCCGACCGATGGCCAATGGCCGACGATGCAATGCGACGATGCATGCCGACGATGCCAATGCTCGACGATGCAATTGCCCGACGAGCCAATGCCGACGATGCCATATGCCGACGATGCCAATGCCGACGATGGCCAATGCCGACGATGCCAATGCCGACGATTGCCAATGCCGACGATGCCATATGCCGACGATGCCAATGCCGGACGAGTGCCAATGCCGACGATGCCAATGCCGCGACGATGCCAAATGCCAGGACGATGCAATGCGCGACGATGCAATGCCCGAGATGCAATGCCGACGATGCCAATGCGACGATGCAATGCGGACGATGCCAATTGCCGACGATGCCAATGCGACGATGCCAATGCCGACGATGCCAATGCGACGATGCCAATGCCGACGATGCCAATGCGCCCGACGATGCCAAATGCCTGACGATGCCAAATGCCGACGATGCCAATCCGATCGCTGCCAATGCCGAGATGCTCGCGACGATGCCAATGCCGAGATGCCAATGCCGCACGCATGCCAATAAGTGACGATGCACGCCGCACATGCCAATGCGCCGACGATGCCAATGCCGACGATGCCAAGCCGACGATGCAATGCGACGAGCAATTCGCGACGAGTGCAATGCCGGACGTGCCAAGCCCGACGATGCCAAATGCCGACGATGCCAATGCCGGACGATGCCAATGCCGACGATGCAATGCCCGACGATGCAATGCCGACGATGAAATGCGACGATGCAATGCGACGATGCCAATGCGACGCTGCATGCGCGACGATTGCTCAATGACGTTACGATGCCAATGACGCGATGCCAATGCGACGATGCCAATGACTGACGGATGCAATGCGATCGATGCCAATGCACGACGATGCAATGCGACGATTGCCAATGGAAGACGAATGCAATATGCGACGATGCCAATGAACGATGCAATGCGAAACGATGCACAATGCAAACGATGACAATGAAAACGATGACATGAAAACGATGACAATGAAAACGATGTAACAGAAACGATGACATGAAAGATGACAATGATATAGATGACAATGATAACGACTGACAATGATAACGATGACAATGATAACGATGATAATGATAACGATGACAATGATAAGATGAATGATAACGAGACAATGATAACATGACAATGATAAGATGACATGAATAACGATGAACAATGATAACGATGACATGATAACGATTGACAATGATAACGATGCAATGATAACGATGAACAATGATAAGATGACAATGATACGATGACAATGAATAACGATGACAATGATAAACGATGATCAATGATAAAATAGAAATGATTAACGGATGACAATGATAACGTGACAAAATGGATACGATGACAATGTAAACGATGACAATGTAACGATGACATATGAATAACGATGAAAAATGATAACGATGAGAACAAATATAACGATGGGGAAAATGATAACGATGACAATGAATAACGATGACAATGATAAGCGATGACAATGATAACGATGAAATGATACGATACATGATAACTGACAATGATAAGATGACAATGTAAGGATGAAATGATAACGATTGACAATGATACGATGACAATGATAACGATCGACAATGATAACGAATGACAATGATTAACGAATGACAATGATAACGATGACAATATACGATAACACACGATACACGATGACAAATGATAACGGATGACAATGATAAGATGACAATGTAACGGGATGACATGGATAAAGATGACAATGATAACGATGACAATGATAACGATGACAATTGATAAGAGGAGACAATGATAACGATGACAATGATAACGATGACAATGATTATGATTATGCAATCCATGAGAGAAAATTGAATATGTTATATTGACAGTTTCATTACATTAGAGCCACACAACTATATCAACTTAAATTTTTTCACAATTTCTGTTTAAACATCAAAATTTTCCACTTGTGTACTATAACACAAATTTATTATGCATTTGTATGAATAATAAAATACATAATATATCTCAGGCCCTCTGACATGCTGAACCATTGGTATTCTATCTAATTTATTGAAATTAATCTAATTCCTATTGGAATATTTCCAAATAAATTTCAAGTAAGGTTAGTTATCATTAAATTAATTAATGTACAAATTGTTTTGTGCAATAGTACTCAATTATCAGGAGATGAAACAAAAGAGAAAACTTGAGTAGTGAAGGGAACATGAAAGGAGGACATCATGTAGAAGTGCTAACAATAATTTTCTCAAATTAGCATAAATAGGAGCCAAATCCAATTTCAATACTAAATGTTTTTGAGAATGAAGATAGAAAAGAAGAAAGAATGGACTTAAAAGTGAAATGTTATATCTATTTACTTTGTAATTAAAAAGTTATGCATAATAAATAATTAATTAAATATGCAAATTATAGAACAAAATTCCGCAAAGTATTTTTATGATTAGAGGGCAGATTTTAATGAAATGTAATTTTTCTTTCCTTTTCACTTAAGAACAATGCCTTTTAGTACACATATTAGTTTTATGTCATGACGAAATAAAATGGCTCATTTTTATGACTTTTTTTGCACTTTTAGATTAAACAAATGTTCTCCACAGAAAACCTGAGTAGCCTATTCCATTTCTTCGCTCAGAAATTGTTATGTCAGCGGTTGTATGTAATCTCAAGTCCTGCGATGCCTATCAGCACTTTTGTTGGTTTGGCCAATTTCACGATAACTAAAGACAGATTTTCTGGTAAAGAACAGTCAAAACTAAAAGTTTGCAAGCTGAGTTTGCTTGAATGAAAAGAAGAAGAAGAAAAAAAGAAGAAAAAAAGAAAAAAGAAGGAAGAAGAGAGAAAGAAAAAGAAAAAAAGGAGCCTTGATTACATCAGTAGCATATCCAATAACTGGAGTTGTTCATTTGAACTGGTTTTGATGAAAAAATTAAAAACATTTTACGAGCATTTTATTGATCATTTTTGCTGATGTTTTAGCTCTTCAAAATTTGCACCCTAATGATTATCATTAAATTATACTTTTTTTTTGTACTTACACTTCCAGTAGCATAAGCCTGAACTTGGAAAGGAGAGTGAGGTACTTCTTTTCCACCATATTTAACACTAACTTTATATCTTCCACAGTCATCCGGTATGTAAGATGCTTTGAAGGTGCCATCTCCATTATCAATAACTTTCACTTTCCTTGGATATCCATCAGGACCCTAAGAAAAAATGTACAATCAAATTAATAGTAATGAAGAAAGTAATCACAATATTAGATGCCAAAAACATTTTAACACACACCTTTACAGAGACCTCCAAATCGCCATAACCAGCTTGACTGGTATCTATCGTGAATTCAGCAGGAATGGAAGCTGGAATGCCTTTGGCTGACACACCTGTGCCATCTACTTTAACTCTTTCAGGTTCTACCACAGGACGTACCTTCATTTGGAATGGGCTACAAACACACGAGAAGAGCAATTATTTTAAAAATAATTAAAATTTTGTGATCGTTGACGAAGTTAAGTTTAATGCCCTGAAATCGATAAATATTTACATAACAGATAAATAGAGATTGTGTTAATTGGATAATAATTTATCTCTAAGAAAAACTAATAGACCAACTAACTTTTCAATTACTAAGTTTGTGAGAGGACAAATCACCTGTTTGAGCTACCATCTGATGCTACCATCTGATTGAGGTTCTGAAGATGCATACGGCGCTTCAAAGAATCAATTATACTTATGACAAGAGTGAAGTTTTACATTCTGAAGTTGTGAAACTACTGAGTATGGAACCCCTTTAGCATAATGGAAAATTACTCAATTTTGTTATATTACCTGTTTGGAATATCTTTGCCATCCCAAGTAATTTTTGCTTTTAAATTGCTTCCTTCAGATGGAGCAACATAACTCACATCATATGTTCCATCACCATTATCTCTAATTTCAGGTTGCTGTGGTAGTGCTCCTGAAATCAGTATAAAAATTAAGAATAATTTTTGGGCTTGGAATGAAATAAAGCTATAATTCACATTAAGCATGCACATTAAAATAAAAAAATGTGAGTGGATGTCTTAATAATGAAAATAATGATGATTATGGTGATGACAACACCAAATACATTGGAAATTCAAAAGCAAGTATAAATTTATAAAAATTGTATTTATAATAGAAGCAAACCCACCCCTTTCAGAGCGAAGATTTACACCCAGGGCAGCTTTCCCAGACTTTGAAGCATCAACCTTAAATGTAAGAGGAGTATCTCCTCTACATTTATTAGGATCCAAACCAGGACCATACGCTTTCACTAGACTGGCATCAACATTCATATCAACAGGGACCTATAAAGATAAAAACATATTATCCAAACTTGGTACTGAATTTTCACAATGCTTATTCCCATTCCTCATATCCCTATAAAAACTGTTCTTATTTTTTCTTCACATTTGCAAATAATTTTAAAAAAGAAACATAAATATATTTTGAGATTGGTAACAAAAATTCATACTGAGTGAACAGAAAATTGAAAAATTGATTCATCTCCACACAACAAATATGTACTTTAAGGAATATTCATAAATCATTACAGAAAGGACCTGATTCTATTGGCAACAAATTTTTGCTTTCCAAACTATTTTCTCCAAATTTACGTATATCACTAATATGTCTATACTCCACTTCCTAATTAAAAAATACAGACTTCGAAACTTTACTACACATGTACTGGTCTTTCAGATGCCTTTGACAGGGTTACGTTGAATCATTGATACTTTGGTGACTATTCATTTAATATCAGTAAAATTAATTGTTATTTATAGATCTACATTTTCAATTTGCTCCAAGGCGTATAATCCAATACTCTGATGTTCTACATTGCATCAACATTCAGAATTTGCTATCTGAAAGGAATTCAATGATTTATTTAATGTTATGCAATTTTTTTACACAAACACATTGAAAGCTTTGAATAAATGCAATAGAAAAGTGCAGCAATGCCAATGTTATTATCAGGGTCTCCACTAACATCTGGAAACTACAATAGTTATTGCACTGTTTTCAACTTTGAACAGACTAATATAACCAAAAGTAATTTTTCTTTTTAAATATTTCATATAGAATCTAGTATTTAAAAAATGATTATCAAATTAAGTAACTTCAAAACTAATACTCATGCCAACTAGCTTTTGGCCACATCATTCATCTCAATTCTAAATTATTGGCAACTTTCCCCCACAGACTTCTCTATTAAATACTAAAATAGTTCCTTTGCAATTGACAGCAGTAAGATAGCTTTGACATAGTAGGTTGTAGGTTGTATGTTGTATCTTCGGTTTTTTGAAAATCGATAAGTCTTTTGAAACTTCTTTCATCTGTCTTTCAAAAGTAAACTTGCCTTGAAAGGAGATCCAGGAATGTGTTGATCTGCAAATTTGATACTGACATCATATTCTCCTGCTTCAGTTGGGATGTATTCAACAGAACAAGAACCATCACGGTTATCCTTGCAAGTCATTTTTGCTTCAGATGGACCTTCAATTGCCAATCCAAGACCACCAGTGCCAGCACCTTTATTAAAATTTCAATCGCAAAATCAGATTTGAGCAGAATGACCAAATATGGGCCAATAATATTTTAGGCATGTGAATGTAACTAATTGGTTGGCAATTTTCCCCAGAGGTTCTTCCATTGATTGCTGTGCTATATGTTTTCTGATATTTTGTATGAAATCAAGATTTGACCTTTATGAATGAGTTGCAGTAACTCTGTTTATGTTCCAAGTGATTTCAAGAATGGACAACAAATGGCAATGATAATTTACTCCTATTCTGGCTTTTGATATTAGTTTTATGCAAAATCATGGTATCACATTGAATTTTCCTGCGAAATGCAGGATGTTAGTTACAATTATTTACTCCCAATAACCTTATTAAGATGAGAAAAAATATTCTATGCCCACCTTTGGTTTCTACAGTGAACATATTAGCTTTGTCCACAAAGCCATGTTCCAATCCAGGTCCAAAAGCTCTACACTTCTTTGGATCACTTCCTCTTCTAACATTAACCACAAACGGAGATCCAGGAATTGGTAGACCATCATAAAGAATATCAATAGTATGGCATCCTAAGAAAAAATAAATCAAAATAAATACTCAAAATAATAGAATATGAGTCAAAAGACCCAACCAAACTGAATTCTCTTTTGACAAATACCAGGATGGAACATATAACAAAAATAAAACACTAACTCTATGTAACTATGAAACAAACAACTGAATAAACTATTTCTATATGAGATACAATAAACAATAAATTTTGCAAGTCCTTCACCTCAAAAATAAAGACTTCAAATATTCTTATTAATTTCTACAAAAGAATACACACAATTCATTTCATTTTTATTATTAAATATTGATAGAATCCCTGTTATTTATAATTACTATTATTAAGTTTTTTAAATAATATTGTATAAAGGTTAAAAAAGAGTAGTTTATTATAGAAAATAAGCAAGATTTTTTTAAGTTATTTAATTTTTATGAGAGCCTTATCTTACATTTTGCTTTCACCATGAATTCTGAAAAAAATAAATTTGCTAATTATAATTTTAAAAAGAAAAAACAGAACCACAAAACACTAACATTACATAATTGTAGTAAGCATATGTAGGATAGAATGTAATAGAATTATATTATTGAAGTATTATATTATTATCAAAATTAACTGAAAGATTAACGAACAAAATAATAAAGAAAAATTAAAATTTTGGGAGATTAAAATTTGGGTTCATTCTTTAAAATAGTTTCAAAATTTGTCTTTGTGATAAAATTTAATGACATTTATCAAAACATTTTGGTCATTTTCAACTTCCCTCAAAGTGAAATACAACTTTACAAAACACAATTTTAAATGAAGGAAGATTGTAATATAATTAGTTTTATTTTTCAATTTTATCTGTTCATCTAGGTTTACAAAATCATAATGAAATTTTCTTTCAGTTTTTGGAAGGTGATCATCTTTCATGTGAATTGTTAATATTCAACTTAGTTATTCAAACAGAGGAAATTAAAGTTAATTAAACTCATTACAGTGGCATAGAACTTTGAGGCCACCCTTCTCTGCAGAAATGGAATAGTTTGATAAATGAAGCAAACATATTACAACAAATATATTACAAACATGTTATAGCAAATATATCACTCCCAGAAAATACAATATTTTTTCAAGAGATCATCTCACAGGATTTAAAAATTTCAGAGGAGCTAATTCTATTTTTCCCCCATTGTTTAAATTAACCTAATATTCTTAGATTTAACAATTCTTTAGGAGATATTCAGAAAGTTTAAGAGAGATTAAGAATTCTCTTCAAACTAAACAGAAATTAATTTCTGGTAAATAAATTTTGTTCTGTTCATAAAGTGATGTCAAGAATGTCTATAATATATAAAACGCATTGAACAAGAAAAATACATGGAAAATGAAAATAATGTTGAAGCACAATACTTTTAAAAAAGTCTTATACACCTTTATGTAATTTATTCTTGCTTTTATACTTTTAAAATTATCTAGAGAAGAGGCAATGAAAAGATTGGTACAGTACACCAAATAATAAGTGTGAATAATAAACCTACCTTCTTCGAAGGGAGTGTAGCTAATACGGTATGTACCATCAGCCAAAGGCGTAATTAAGTTTTCAGTCTTAGTACCAGATGGATTGGTAATAGTGCAAGTTACCTTACCATCATCTCTTTTTGCAATTGCACGGGAATCCACAACAAAATCAGTGGGAGAGTCAACATACACACCTGAAAGGCAAAAGTCCACTGTTCATAAATGAAATATGGTTAAGTGTGTATCTGTAACAATTATTAGAAAATTTTTATAAAATGTACAAAAAGTGTATTAAAATATGACAGTCAAAAACTAACAATATTACTAAATTATTTGAAAAACAACAACGAAAAAACGTTCAAAACATCAACTAATAGATTAAAGACAGGCATACACTTCAAAACGCATTGACATAATTAAATGCAGTCTACTTTTAAATTAACATTTTTTCATGGAGATTTAAGGGGAAATGTAACCAACAGTATAAGTAGCTTTATGATACTAAAAGTTTCTTTCAAATCATTTCGTCCGAGTGTCTCCTGTCATAACTATATTAAGACTATTTTGTAAATTATAATATTTCAGATTTAATGAACCAATGTGATTGTTGCATTTTTATTTTTACTTCTTTCGGTTTAAAATTTTATGAACAAAATAAAATTATGCGAGATTAAAATTTGGGTTCATTCTTTAAAATATTTTCAAAATTTTTCTTAATGATAACATTTAATGAAGTTTATTAACCAGTTTGGTCATTTTCATCTCCCCTTAAAGCAAAATACAACTTTACAAAACACAATTTTAAATGAAGGAAGATAAAATACTTTCCAATCAATATATGTGCACTCAATTCTACTAAAAAAAGGTATCAAACATGATAAAGGTGAGATAAATCTAAAACAAAAAGGACAGAACATGCCACAAAGTAATATAAAACGTGTTTGACAACTGACACAAAAAAGAACAAGATCTCCTTGATATCTCTAAAAAATTTTTTTTCTTCTCAACAACCTACTCTGTTTTTATTTCCATTTTTCTCAAAACTATTGTTTTCACTCTCCAGCCTTTGTATTCGTTTTCTTCAGGTCATCTCCATTTCTTTCTGGCAGTCAATTAGTTAGTAATTTTAGCACACATCAAATTACTACTCCATTAATGAGAAAAAACACACGACAAACAATGAAATTAGTGAACACATGCTTATTTTGAATCACTCTACCATGAGGTTGAATGCCATTTCCAGAGACTTTGATTCTTTTTAAATCAGCTTCAGGAGCAATGAGGGCTTGAAATGGAGAACCAGGAATGTGCTGGTCATTGAAAGTTATATTGATGCTGTAGTCCCCAGGTTCAGTGGGTAAATAGGCTACAGAACATGTGCCATCTCCATTATCTCGGCAGTTGATTGCTGCTTCACAAGGCCCTTCCACAGTTACTCCCAAGCCTCCTTGACCAGCTCCACGTGTATCAATGCAAAACTCTGCTGGTCGGCCAACAATACCATGTTCAAGTCCAGGACCTGATGCTCGCACTTTTGCAGGATCACTTCCATGCATGCATGTAAAACGATATGGAGTAGGTGATATTGGTTCTCCCCCAAAAGAAATGCTCAACAAGTACTCTCCAAGTTCAGTAGGAGTGAAATTTACAAGAAATCCCTCACGCGTTGGTATAACATGTGCTTTAACACGATTGCCTGATGGACTTGTAATTGCAACTGCAAAATCAGCTTTCCCAGCACCCTGAGTTATCACACGAAACTGTTGCAAGCTGTTGACAGGAGCAGCTAAAGGACATAAGGACATCCTTATAATAATTTATAACACTGAAAAAATCCTGAAAAATGCTTACTTATTCAATAAAACTTCATTAATTCAATACCAAATAACCTAGATAGATCTTTCTCAAGGTGATCGTATTTACAGTAACATTCAATAAGAGAGACCCCAATGCGCAACTCAGTTCATTATTCACAAGCATGGTAATGCAAAAAATAATTACTAATGAGCACACAATGAATTTTTCCACTAGTAATACACATTTTATCTCAAGTAACTGCTTTCCAAACCTTTTTGACACATTTTCTTGCTGAATACCAATTCAATTAATATTACATTGACTTCAGCAGAATGCTTTTCACATAAGATATAAAAATTAACCATTTCATCTACTGCAGGAAACTTTGAACTTGATATAATAATGAGCCATCTAATCAATTTTGAACATGTATGTAAACAACACAAAGGTGATCAGTTAAAATAAAATAAAAATAATTATCAGGGGCGATATAGAAGTACTGTTGCAAAATATTATTTACACATTCATATCTTTTTCAACCTTCTCAATAAAATAAATGTATAGTAAAATCTGTCTAAACTGGAATTGCTCGGATACAAATTATATCTAATTTCCTGAGGTTTCAGTTTTATTCAGTGTTTTGTCTGCTTTTGACATTTTAATGATTTTAAAACTGAAATTTAGAAATCACATAAAGTCGCGTTACTTCCATTACTCGCGTTACTTCCATTACTCGCGTTACTTCCATTACTCGCGTTACTTTCATTACTCGCGTTACTTTCATTACTCGCGTTACGTTTATTACTCGTATTAGTAATGAAATATCTGAAACTGAACATAAAATGAAAAAACTCAATTTGCGTAATATGATATTACAGTTTTCAACATTAATCCACGTTTTCTGTTTTCCATTTTTTCGACCTATTAATACATTTTCAATTATGTTGATTTTGAAAATCTCTGTAGTAGTTCAGGATTATTTTAAGTGCAAATTTTTGTAGCTGTAGACCCATGCTTAGAGACTTTCCAATGGTCAGAGTTCAAAGAATGACATTCCCCAATCCTAGCAACCAGCAAGCCTGTGCTCCTGAGTGCAGACTATATCAAGAGCAACACATTGTTATTTATGCTTTCCAGCATTTTCAGGTGTTGACAGCGGGCTGTGGAACAAACATGGTAGGTCAGATACTGAGCACCATGCCTCATTCAAGGTGAATGCATAAACAGAGCATTGTATAAGTGCTCAATTTAAAGTAGAGTTAACAGTACAACTTCTCCACAGTCAACCAATACCCTTCTCCTCAGCCATGCTGGCCATGATAAAATTGCATATCACAAAAATAGAGAACTTACAACTGATCTACAGATACATTTCTTTAAGAGCATTGCACTAAAGCCACTGATCCAAGCAGGAATTTCATAATCACAATCAATTGCATAATCACAGGAATTTCTTTTTATAAAGAGTTTTTTCTTGTGCAGAACATGAAAAACAGTCATTTTCATGTTGGAAAGATTCCAGTTTATGTTCAATAAAATGTCATTTAACTTCATTAGCTGGGGATATTTTCCCATTATGACAGGCTTCCAGATTGTTTATGTCACAGCTTGTACAGATTTTACTGTATTAATTGGTATTACATGTTACATTTAAGCAAAAATGAAGTAATAAAAAAGATGGCCACAATTTTTACAGTGCATACATAATTATTTATGTGATGCACAAAGTTAATGCAACATTATTGATTTTATGCACATTTCTGGAATTTTATAAGAATATTCTTATTTCTCACCTATTTTCTTATAAACATTCTGACTCTTTAATGAATTGACAAACATTTTTTCTTCTGACTTTTTTTTTTTTTTTTTTTTTTTTGCCAACAACTATAAAAATATTTTCAAGTTATGACTTCCCTGGTAACATTTTGCAGAACATTTTTTCAACAACACATTGTTAAAGGAATATTGAATATCATAGTACAATAATGATCTACTATTGAGATCTTGCATGCAAAATTGATCGCAGGGCTCAAGAAGATATTTCTAAGAATTACATTACTTCCATGAGCATGAAAATTTCCATTACCACTGCCAGTTATTGTCAGGCCTCTTGTAGCCCTTCAGATTACAATGCACCTCAGTTACCTTTAAACTAGGAATAAAGGTCAAAAATATTAAATATAATAACTAGGCATTTCTTCATAATGGAAGGTAAAAATAAACTGTACATCACCAATTACAGATTCCATTCAAGTATGGAACACACAAAATTAAATAATAAACTTGCAACATTTAGCGTTCTGTAACATGTCTTTCAACTTCTTTCTTAATTTTTTTCAAAACCAAATCCATTGAATATTCCAATGAATCAATCACAGGTATTTTTATATGTATGTTATTCAGTACACAAACTTATAATTCATCATCCTAATATCCAGTTTCAATTTATGAAATATTGAAAACTTACTTGGTTCCAAGCCATCAACTTTTATTTTTGAGACATCCACATGAGGCTGAACTTGAATTCTGATTGGACTTTGTGGAATCTGTACACCACCATACACAATCGTTGCATTGTAAACTCCTGGTTGAGTGACACAGTAATCAACAGTAAAGGTGCCATCTTCATTATCAGTCATTCTCAAAGGAACATCTACTCCAGTCTCACTCATTAAAGCAATTTGAATGTCACCTAGAGGTAAAGTACATTATAAATAAAACTTAATAAATAAAAATATATTAATAACACCAAAGAGAGAGCGAGAGAGAGAGAGAGAGAAA